CAGGGGCCGGAGCGGGGGCCTGCAGCGGGCCTGGGGGCGCGCTCCCCAGGCGCGCGGTCACGCTGCGGGTGCTCCTCAAAGACGCGCTGCTGGAGCCCGGGGCTGGGGTGCTGTCCATCTACTACCTGGTGAGCGCCCCCACCCCGAATCCCACCCGGCTCGGGCAAGAAGGGGAAACTGAGGCCTAGAGCGCCCTTGCCGCAGGACGAGCCACGGTGCGGGGATGGGAAACGGAGGCACAGAGCGTCCGACCCGGGAGGAACCCTTCTGGGCAGGAGGACATGTTTCAGCTAGTGCCCTGTTCCACAAAGGGGAAACTGAGGCTCAGAGAGGAGCCGTCACCTGGACAGGGTCAGACGGACCATACCACTGCCTGTCTGTCTGTGTGACCTCCCTCAACCTCTCTGTGTGGTAGTAGTTTCTCCATCTGCAAAATGTGCTATTTTCCTCTGGTGGGGTTGTGACAGGATTAAAGGAATAAAGCGCTCAGCAGGGTGCCTGCTACACAGTAAGTGCCTCATAAGTGTGTACTGTTATTACTGTTACCTTTTTATATTTACTTTTTGGCAGCTGGCCAGCAACGGGATCCTAACCCTTGACCTTGGTGTTACAACACCACACTCTAACCAACTGAGCAACTGGCCAGCCCCAGGGACAATTTGTGAATTGAGCGCCTGCTGTGTGCTGGGTTGGGTATAGGATGCTTGTAATCAAAACAGACCCTGTCCTCACCCTTAGGGGGATCGCAGTCCCGGGGTGGGGGTGGGGGGGACAGGTAATGGGACAGTTTCCATATGGGCTGATTAGGTGTGTGAAAGTGGACATACAGGCACTGAGAGGCATGGAAGCTGGTCTGAGAGGGGTTTCTGGAAGCCCTGGAAGGAGTGCTGGAGTGGGAAGTGGGTACCAAGTCTCAGGGAGCATGCAGTCAGGGGGGAGGACTTCCTGGAGGAGGTGGCTTGATGGGTGCCAGGTCCTGGGCCCAGCCAGTCTACTCTGGCTGCAGGGGAAGAAGTTCATGGGAGACCTACAGCCAGATGGCAGGATCGTGTGGCAGGAAACCGGGCAGGTCTTCAACTCCCCCAGCGCCTGGGCCACCCACTGCAAGAAGCTGGTGAACCCAGCCAAGAAGTCGGGCTGCGGCTGGGCCTCTGTCAAGTACAAGGGCCAGAAACTGGACAAGTACAAGGCCACCTGGCTCCGTCGGCACCAGCTCCATGTGCCTGTTGCTGCCGCCGATGAGGTACGTCCTTCAGCCCCCAGCAGCAAGCCATCCAGCTCGCTGTTGGATGTGGGGTGCCCAGCTGATCACAGCTCCCCGAGGGCTGGGCTAGAGAGAGGGGACACAGGAGCCAAAGCTTTGAGGGATGAGCAGGAGCTCATCATGAAGGGTAGAGCTTTCCAGAGGGTACTTGCCAGCTGGGTGAACTTGGCCAAGGACTCTTCGTGGGCCTTAATTATCTTTATATGTAAAGTGGAGATAATACATGTGTATCAGTTATATACAAGTCTGAAATTTGCAGACAGGCTGGAAACTTAGGCAGGAATTGGGGCTGCAGTTTCGAGGCAGAATTCCTTCTTTTCTGGAAAACCTCAGATTTTGCTCTTAAGGCTTTCAACTGATTGGATGAGGCCCATCCATATTATTCTCCTTTACTGAAGGTCAGGTTAATGTAGGTGTGAATCATAGCCTTTGCAGCAATACATGCATTAGTGTTTGATTGAATATCTGGGTACTATAGCCTGGTGAAGTTGACACAAAACTACCCTTTGCATCATGCCACAGGGCTATTCATTCAGCAAGTTTTGAGTAACTGACTGTGTGCCAGGCCATGTTTTAGGCATTAGATATAAAGCAGATCAAAAAGAGAAAAATCCTGCCCTCCTGGAGAGGGGAATAAAGAAACTAAATAAGTCCATCTTATAGTATGTCAGAGGAAGTGAGCAGGGACAAGGGATGGAATTTGGGGGGGCGGGTAGGCGTGGTGAAATAAGGTGGTCGGGAGACCTCACTGAGAAGGTAACATCTGAGTGGAAGGAGGGGAGCAAGGGAGCCAGAAGGATGTGCAAAGGCCCTGGGGCAGGACCGAGCCAGGCACGTTGGAGGAACAGCGAGGAGGCCTGTGTGGCTGGAGCAGAGTGAGCGAGAGGGAGAGAGGCAGGAGGGGAGGGCACGGGATGGGGGATGGGGCAGGTCCCGCAGGGCCTGGTGGGCTGCGGGGAGGACTTGAGCTTTTTCGCCGAGGAAGGTGGGAGCCATGGAGGGCTGTGGGCTGAGGAGGGAGGGTCCTGAATTAGGTGCTCACAGGCATCCTCTGGCTGCTGCAGGGAGGACAGACTGTGGAGGGGAGGGTGGGAGCCAGGGGACCAGGGAAGAGGGACCTGAGCTGCTCTGGATGATGAGGCGGTGGATGAGGCTGCCATTCAGGGGGCAAATGGGCACGTTGCAGGTTTTTTTTTTTTAAGATGACTGGTAAGGGGATCTTAACCCTTGGCTTGGTGTTGTCAGCACCACACTCTCCCAAGTGAGCTAACCGGCCATCCCTATATAGGATCCAAACCCACAGCACTGTACTCTCCCGAGTGAGCCACGGGCCAGCTCTGGTATTTTTGAAAGTGGATCTGACAGGATTTGCTGATGTTGGGGTTAGGAGATGTTGGGGTCCTGAGTAAGTGGGTGGACGGAGCTGACTTCAGTCGAGATGGGGGAACAGGGGAAGCACAGATCTGGGGGTCTGGTCAGGTCCACCGTGGCTGTGTTGTGTGAGACCCCCACGTGGAGACATCGAGAGGCAGCTGGGCCTCATGTCTGGAGCTCGAGGGAGACGCGGGGTGGAGACAAGACCGTGGGTGTCATCAGGTGTAGACCAGGTTAGAGCCCCAAGAACGGAGGAGACTGCTCGGGAGGGGCGGGGGTAGAGGAGGGAAGAGGCCTGAGGGCCTAGCCCTGGGCCAGCGATGGAGAGGCAGAGCTGGGGGGTCTCAGAGAGGCTGGAGCACTTGCCCGAGGTCACGCAGCTTATGACAGGCAGAGGCGGGATTCGAACCTGGAAAACAGCCCCAGGACCGCCTCTGCTCACTCGCGCCCTCTAGTGGTCACCCTGGGCAGTGGCACCTAAGGCTGTGATGACAAAGGCCTGGGATGGGACTTGGAGGGGAGGGTGGGGGATACCCAGCTGAGGGTCCTGCTGCTGCTCCCCACCCACACCCCTCCAGAGCCCGGCCAGCGAAGGGGAGGAGGAGGAGCTGCTGATGGAGGAAGAAGAGGAGGACGTCCTGGCGGGGGTCTCAGCAGAGGACAAGAGTCGGAGACCACCAGGGAAGGGCCCCTCGGATCCTGCCCACACGGGTGAGAGAAGGGGCAGGGCAGGGGTCAGGTAGAAGGCGGATGGGGAGGGAGCTGAGGACAGGCTGGGCTTTAATCTTTCCTAGTGCCCCCGAAAGGCCTGGCTGACTTCCCAGCCCCGCTGCCTGATTTCATCCACTGCCTGATTTCTTAAGCTCTAATGCTATATTCTTGGTCCCACTGCCATATTCCTCTATGTGCTGCCTGATTTCCTTGCTCGCTGCCTGATTTCTTGCTTCCCTGCGGGATTTCTTTGTCCTGTTGCCTGATTTCTTTGGCCCACTTCCTGGTTTCCTAAACTCATCTATTATTTTTTTAAAATCTCCTCTGTCTGATTTGTTAACTTGCCTTCTGATCTCTCAGTCTTGCTACTTGATTTTCTGATTTTTAATGCTGCCTCTAGATCTTCCTCTTTCTGCTGGCCGGTATGGGGATCTGAACCCTTGGCCTTGGTGTTATCAGTCCACTTCCCTGCTGTGTTTTCCAGTTTGGGCTGGGGAGGCACTGACACACGTTTTTCTCCCCCCACCCCCCAGATACCACGCCCCCAGGGAAGCGGGTGGAAAACAAGGTCCGGGTGCCAGTCCGCTACTGCATGCTGGGCAGTCGTGACTCTGCCAGGTCAGATATGTCCCAAGCCCTCCACCCCAGGACAGAGCTTCAGATCCTCAGACCTGGGGGAGGGGGGTGGGAAGCCAGCTTGGGGGTGAGGGGAGAGCTGAGGGGTTCCTGAGGCTGTGGGACCCTCCTGGCCCCTATAGGAACCCCCACACTCTGGTGGAAGTAACATCCTTCGCAGCCATCAACAAGTTCCAGCCATTCAACGTGGCCATTTCCAGCAACGTGCTGTTCCTGCTGGTGTGTGGCCAAGCCCCCACCTTGTCCCTCGGTGTCCAGGGGCAAGGGGCTCCCAGGAGGGAGGGCAGGGTCCCCAAATGTCAGCTCTGTGAGAGCAAGGAGCTTGTCTGCTTTGTTTCCTACTGGTAAACAGTAGGCACTCAATAAATGTATGAAGGAGGGGGCAGGCTGGCCCCTGTGTTGTGGGCAGCCTAAGCCGGTCTCCCCACGCCCCTCTTCTCCCCAGGACTTCCACAGCCACCTGACGCGGAGTGAGGTCGTTGGTTACTTGGGGGGCCGATGGGACATCAACAGCCAGAGTGGGTATTTGGGGCCTGGTGGGTGGGGGGAGTTTGAGGCCAGGGTCAATGGCTACTCCTCCCACCTCCCGACAGTGCTCACGGTGCTGAGGGCCTTCCCCTGTCGGAGCCGGCTTGGGGACGCTGATACTGCAGCCACCATTGAAGAGGAGGTGAGGCAGTGGCTGGAGGTGGCTTTCTGGGGAGGGCTGGGAGGGACACAGTGGTCCTGGCTACTGTCCCGGTGGCTGCCAGTGTCAACGCTCAGCGAGTGTGTGTGTGAGCGAGTGCCCGTCCCTGGCCTGGGACCTAGTGGTTTAGAGAGTGCTGCTTTTGGGTCGCCCAGCCCTGGTGCTCACACTCTGTACAAATCCTGGCAGCCCCTTCCCCCATTTCCCCATCTGTGAAATGGGAGGCTTAAGTGGACGACTGTCAACACCAAATGCCTAGGGCTGGCTGGGTAGCTCAGTTGGTTAGGGCACAGTGGGACAACGCCAAGGTGACAGGTTCAGATCCCCATACTGGCCAGCTGCTCCCTCCCCCAGGCCCCCCCAAAATACCAACTGCCCAGGCCATGTCGGGCACCTGGTAAGGGCTCGATAGAAACTGGTCATGTTTTCACAGTGGTGCTTAGTGCTCTGTGCCCACCGTGTTGTGGCTTTGTCACAGTGTCCCTGGGGGGACAGGGAGTAGGTGTTGATTCAGCACATCCATTTCTCTGTCCACCTCATTTCTCTTTGCCTCCACTTGCTCATGACACCTAGGAACGTCCCTCTCTGCCATGTGCATACACACCCACCTTTCTATTTATTGAGCACCTACCGTGTGCCAGGCATTGTTCCATAAGCTGGGGATACAGCAGTGATCGAAACAACTTCCTGCCCCTGCTTTATGGCAGGCGCATCTTTTTACAGATGTCTTTACTGACTGCGTTCCCGTCCTTCTCTCCTCCCAGACTTGGTGAGGGTGTGGGCGGGGTCCCCAGGCCTGGTACACAGTGTGCACTCATGAAGCGTATGAGTCCACGAGGGCTCCCCCGGCCCCTCCCCGCCAGCCGCCCTCTGCCCTCAGATCTACCAGAGCCTGTTCCTGCGGGGCCTGTCCCTGGTCGGCTGGTACCACAGCCATCCCCACAGCCCAGCGCTGCCCTCGCTGCAGGACATTGATGCGCAGATGGATTACCAGCTGAGGCTGCAGGGCTCCAGCAATGGCTTCCAGCCCTGCCTCGCTTTGCTCTGCTGTAAGTCCTGGGCTGGGGGTGGTAGGGAGCCCTGCCAGGCCAGCTGAGCCCCCTGGCCCCAGCGCGCTCTCTTACTCTCCTCTCCCAGCCCCTTACTACTCTGGCAACCCAGGCCCCGAGTCCAAGATCTCACCCTTCTGGGTGATGCCTCCTCCCGAGGTAGGCGGGGCTGCTGGGGGAGGCTGAGGCTTGGGGCCTGGGGCATTTGGGCAGACTCGCCGGGGCCAGGAGGGCTTGCTGACAGTCCAAGGCAGGGGATGTTGGCTTGGGGCTCTGTTTGGGAGTTGGGGCCTCGATTTCTCCCACCTGTGAAATGGGAACATGATCGCTGCCATATCTGAGCCTCTTTGTGAGGCCTGGGTGTGGGACTTCTGTGTGTAGCATGTTGCTTACTTCCTGAACCCTGCCAGGGTCAATTCCCCAAGTCCCGCTTGGGGTCAGAAGGCAGCTATGGAAGGACATTTCGGGGTGCTGGCTCTCTTCTCGACCTCTCCTGGTGGGAGGATGCCACCCTGCCTCCCTAGCCCCACTGCAGTTTCCCCTAAGGTCCCTCATGGTGGCTCTGATCCACTGATCCCAGTGTGGAGTTGGCCCAATTTCCAGCCCAGGGCACTTGCTGCTGGCGAGGCGCCTTGACCAGTCCATGTCCTTGCCAGCAACGGCCTGGTGACTATGGCATCCCCATGGACGTGGAGATGGCCTACGTCCAGGACAGCTTCCTGACCAACGACATCCTCCATGAGATGGTGAGCTTGTGCCTAGCGGGGCAGGGCTGCAGGCGCCTGGGTGGATGCACCACAGCAGGGCTTGGGACAGGCTCCTCTTCCCTCTCTCGGGATCCAGTCCCAGACCCTTGCCATGGCCCCTACCACCTCTCCCCTCCCTTGCCCCACTATCCTTGCAGTTCTGGAATGTACCTGACAGGCTCCCTCCCGCCTCAGACCTCTGCACCTGCCACTGGTTCTCCTAGTGGAGAAATGGAGGACTTTCTGTGACACCTGGATGACATTTTTAATACCGGCATGTTCAACATGCATCTTAAAAAAACTGAAGTAGCTCACCATAGCTGGTGTTACTACTTAGGGTGTTGGTGCCAGGGAGCCGTGGCAGGCCTTCGTGGATGTAAGGAAATGTGTTCATTGTGAGCGAGTCCATCTCCCGCTCTAGGGAGCCCTCCTGGACTCAGCCTAGCGGGGCCCTCCTGCTGAGTTTGCCCAGGATTTCTCCTTTGTGGCGCTCATGGCTTATTTGTTGGAGACTTGGGTCATGTCGTAGGGCTGTCACAAGGGGAGGTGGCAGTGTCTGTGCTGTGCCCAGGGCAGGGAGGAAGGGAGCCAGGAAGTCCCATCACCCTGTCCCATAGATGCTGCTGGTGGAGTTCTACAAGAGCGCCCCTGACCTTGTGAGGTTCCAGGAGCCCTGGAACCAGGAGCACACCTACCTCGACAAGCTGAAGGTAAGGCTGGTGCCCAGGCCCTCCAGCCCCAGCTCCCCAGCAAACCTTCCTAAAGGAACCCCCAGAAACATCTCCATGGGCAGCGTGAGAAACAGTGACTGTAACGAAGATGGGAATTTAAGATCCCATAGACCTCGCACCCCAGGACAATGCGGTTGGAGAAGCTGCTCCTGACCCTGCTTCACACCATGGCTGCCCAGGGAGGGTGCAGACAGGGTCGGATTTGACTTGGGGACTTAAGCTCCGGCAAAGCTGAAGTGCAGAGCAGCTGGTTTGTGAACCAGTCTCTGTAGCTCGCAGGCCCGCAGTTCCTGGGTTGTTTACATAGGGCTTGGCTACCTTCTGAGTGTGTCTTATTTCCTGCTTGAAAGTCATTCTCAGAAAACACTCGACTGCTTTGCATAGAGCCACTTTCCTACACTGGCATGTTTGTTCAAGCTTGAATGACCTAGGCTTAGAGCTGCTGGTGCCCCTCCCACCGCAGCACTTGGGGGCTGACTTCAGGAGGCCCTGGCATGCCCCCCAGGGATGTGCGAGACCCAGGCAGGCAGCTGGGCAAGGGCAGGATCTGGAATGTGCAGATAAACCCGACCCCCACCAAGCCTGACTTCACCTTGCCATTAGTCAGGCCAGCCTTGGGTGAGGCACCATTCCTCTGCTTAAAAAATACACTGCCCTGCCCCCAGGTTTAGGAGTGGGGTGGAACCAGGCTGCTGTGCGTGGGCAGCCACCTCTTGGGGCAGGAATGGGGGGCGGGGCCAGGACCCAGGGGTGTAGCTCTGAGGCACCAGCCCCCCGCTTGTTTCAGATCTCCTTGGCCAGCAGGACGCCCAAGGACCAGGGGCTGTGCCAGGTGCTGGAGCAGGTTTATGGCGTCCTCAAGCAAGGAAGCTGAGGGCACCAGCCTCCAGGGAGGTGGAAACCTCTGGGTCAGGCTCACTGCCCTCCTTGGCCCCAGGGCTCTGGGTATCTGGTCTGGGGGTCCCCTTTGTTACTGTTTCACACCCATGAAGCTTAACAGAGGTTCAGATAATAAAGACACGAAAGCAACAAACAGCCTGAGTGTGTCTCACCTGGAGTGTGTGAGGACGGGCTGGGCGCCAGGCTCTGCCACCTTAGTCCCTGCTTCCTCAGGGCATGGGGACTTGCTCCTGTCCAGTGCCACCCACAGTGTGGCCTCAGGCCTGAGCCTGTGCCCTTGCACCCACCGTGGCCAGTCCCACCCCCTCATATTCTGCAGTGAGCATCAGCTGCCTACTCCAGGGGGCTGGTACTGTGAGGGGTTCTGGGGGTGGGCTGCCACTGGGCTACTAGACCCCTAGGGGGCCCATGGGTGGCTTGTGCCTGGGTGTCCAGGTGCACTGGGGCAGGCCCACCCCTGCACCAAGACAAGGCAAAGGGCTGTAGAAAGAAACATTTAATACTTTTTTAAAAAAATCATGAGTACATTTTGATTCACTCTAGACCATGACTGAGGCCCTACTGATCATCTCAGCTGGGGCCTGTGTGCCCCCATGTAATGTGGCAAGGGGGCCACAGGGAAGAGCAGGACTGGTGTCCCGGGCTTTTGCTGGGCCACTGTGGGAGGGGAGCATGACCACAGCCAGGCCCAGAGGTCCCCCATTTAGTCAATTTTTGGATTAGGCAAGAGGGGAAGCAGATGCTGGGGTGAGGGCTCTGCTGGTCTGGGGAGGGATCTCAGGAGCTGCCCCTGCCTTGGTCTAGAGGAGATGGCCCGGATCACTACGGACAGGGCAGGGATGGCGGCTGGCTCAGGAAGCGGGAGGCCCCAGCAGCCAGGGGTCTGGAAACATTCACTAATCAGAGCCTTTGTGCTTGGCCTTCGGCAGAGCAGGAGGTGGGGGCCCGTGGTCCCATGGGAGGCGTGTTGGGGGCTGTGTGTGTGTGCAGCTGGTGGTGGCAGCTCATGCCTGAGAGAGAAACATACCTCCGTGTGCTTGGCTGGGGGCAGTTAGAAGCTCAAAGGTACTCGGCTTTGTGAGGGTGGGGAGGGGGAGGCGTGGTATGAGTGGGCAGGTGAGCTGAGTGTCTCCACGGGAGGGAGGGGCAGCTCCAGGAACCCTGCTTGCCCTTGTCCCTGGACCACAGGCAGGGCTGGCGGCAGGCCAGGAAGGAGCGTGAGTGCAAGGCTTCAGGGCAGTGCCTCTGTGGGCCACAGGCACTGGGGAGACTGGACTGGGGGCTAGGCCCATTGCCAGCAACGGGCTGGGGGCTGTGAGGGATCTACAACCAGGGGTCCTGCCTCAGATCCACCCAGTTAAGGTGGCGGGGCCTGGGTACAGGCCTCCCGGCAGCGTGGGGCTGGGCCCCAGTGCAGTCAGGACGGAGATGGGGGCTGGGGTGGGAAGAGGAGAAGAGGGGTCCACCCTGGAGTTACCCGCCCCTGGAAGAACGGAGGAACGAGGAACGTTAGTGTTTCTAAGAGCACCTTAGTGTCAGCCCCACCTCTGGGGCTGGGCTAGGAGGTGGCTAGTGGGAAGGGAGCCCACATAGCCACTGGGGTGAGTGCTAGTGTAAACAGGGGCCCCTGGCCTGCCTGAAGGTAAGAGCCGCCCCCACACCGCCTGCGGGCTCCAAGCACTGCACTCGCTGTAGGGGTGAGGTGCCGCGAGTTGGGAGCCGAGTGGAACACAGGAGCCCGGCCAGCAGTGTGGATGGAGGAGTCGGGGGAGTGGGATGCAGCATGTCACTGAGGCAGGGGCACGAGCACCTCCACGTAGCTGAGGGGGAAGAAGCCAGACTGGCCGTTGAGCATGCCCTCGTACCAGTTCTCGTCGATCTGGTTGGTCAGCGTGATGATGTCACCCTCGTGGAAGCCCAGCTCCCCGTCGTTCTCGGGCTCAAAGTCATACAGGGCCTTGCAGCTTGGCTGGTCCAGGGGCACTGGGGTGGGGGTGTGTGTGACAGAATGACCAGCAGTTCCCAGCCCCCTGGCCACCATGCAGAGAGCCTGGAGCTGGCAGAGCCCTTGTGGCATGATGAGCCTGCCTAGCCCGGGCCCTGCCGCCTGGCTCCTACCCCACTGGGAGCTCAAAGATGCTTCCAGAACAGACTAAAAGGCCGTGCTGTAAAGCGAGGCTGGCCACAGGCAGGGAACGGGCAAGAACAAAGCCTGTGCCCTTGGGGACACTCACCCATACTCCTGCTGGGGGTCCGGATGGGCTTATCGGAAGATCGGAAAGATGACGAAGCTGCTCGCAAACAAAACCCAGAGGCTGACTGAACATGCAGGGAGGCACCCAGCTCCTGACCCCTGGGACCCCTGAGGTTTGGGTGGAGCAGCAGGCTTGGGGCTGTGCTTGGGGCCTGGCTCGTAGAGACCCCGGGGCGGTGCCAGCCCTCAGGTTCCCACCTCACTGGCCCTCCTGCCTCCCAGACACAGTCCCTCTCTGTTACCTGCGATCTTGGGGGCCGTGGTGCAGGGGAAGCCCCCATTGGACTGCTCAGGCTCTCCGAAGTCAAAGGGCTCCCGGGGCTTGGGCTTGTATTCCCGCTTGGGGCGTGAGGAGGCTTCCCGCATCCTGCGAGATCACAGTGCCATGAGCACTCAGGCACCAGGGCCCTGAACCCCCAGCCCTGGCACTGCAGAGGCTGTGACAAGCCGGGTCCTGCCCTCCGCCTCTCTTCCTGTGCTGGCCCCTCCACAGCCCAGGGAGCTGCTGCCCAACACACATCTCTGCCCCCTGTAAGGCCTTGGCCTCTGGCAAGGTGGCCCTCAGAGACAGTCCCCATGTGCCCCTTTCTCGAGCCTGCAGAGGTGAGATGGGGATGGTTAGGAGTCTCCTGAGCCAGCGTGTGGGGCAGACCCATGCCAAATCCTCCCCATGGGGCTTGCTATTGGCCCAGAGCCCTGAAGAGCCTGGTTATTCTGACCTTACAGCCCTCAGGCCGCTGCACCCTCTCCTTTGGGGCCCAGGATGAGCTCAATAAGGCCCCTGCTCCCTCCTCGGACCCCACCCCAACTGGTGCAGCCTATGAAGCCCACAGTGCCACAGCTCTGGAAGGCCTTCATGCCAGGGCTGGCCACACAGGCGAGGTGCACTGCCCTCTCTGGCTGGCAGAGGGCGCATGGTGTCCCCAAGAACCCATGAAAGAATGAAGACTTGGGGGGCTTCAAGGAGGCAGGGAGCAAGAGGGACTCCACAGGGAGGACCTGCAACCCGCCAGGCAAGGGCCGCGCACCTGCGCTTCAGCTTGTCAGCCAGCTCCTCGAGGATCTGCACGGCCTGCCGGTGGTAGTCGAGCTGGGCGTCCACCAGGGCAGAGAGCTGGCTCACCTGCTCGATCTGAGGGAGCAGCAAGGCTGAGGGACCCCAAGCCCCTGAGGCTCCGGGTCCACCCCCTCCCCGCTGGAGCAGTGGGTGGTTCGTGACCCCTGTGGTCCTACCCCATAGCCACTGCTGTGTGCCATATGCTGCACGTGCAGGGCTGCCCTGGCTCTGGCCCCATGTCCCTCCCAGGGCGACCCGTGTGGCCCTGGGGCCCACGCACGTCGGTCTCCAGCAAGTTGTGCATGCTGGTCTCAGCCAGCTCCTTGGACTCCTCGAACTTCTCTAGGGCCTGGCGCAGCTCCTCGCCAGGGACCCTGCCCTGGCGCTTCTTCCTGTAGTCAAAGTCCAGGCGGCGGCCCTCCAGCTTCTTCAGGTGGTGCTGGGGGGAGGCAAGGGGACAAGCATCACACCAGCTTGTCCCCGCAGCACTGGGAAGCCTGGCCCCACCTAAGTGAGAGCCCCCAAGGGATGTCCTGAGGTGGAGTGTGGGGTGAGGGGTGGGGGTTAAGATGGGCCCCAGCCCTGTGCAGCTGGGAGGACAGCCAGCCAGGACTGACAGCATGGGCTTGTGGGCACAGGGGACAGCGCTGGCCCGCGTAGTACCTGGATCTCCTTCAGGTCCTTGTCACACAGATTCTGGAGGGGGTCGATGAAGTTCTGCTTGACCTCTATGTCCAGGGAGTCCTTCACCTCAGCCAGGCGCTTCATGGACTCCCCGGCGTCCAGCAGGGCGTCACCTGCAGAGATGGGGCCAGGGTGGGGGAAGCTGTCACGGGGGACCTGCCTTATGGGACTGAGACCCTCCCTGACTTCTAAAAGGCCCCCACTCCACAGCTGAGGGCCCAGAAGCTAGAAGTCAACAAAACAAGGAGCCCTAAAATCTGAATCAGTCACATTGGAGCTGGCAATATGGGAACTGCCCCACTCCCTCCCCAGGAACCCTTCCCACTCTTGAAAGGGACCAGGTTTGTCCTGAGCCAGCTGAGGGTGGTGGGAGGGGCAGATCCCTGTGAGGGAGGCTTTCTCGGGAGCCTCAGATGCCCACCCTCCCCCCTCCTGGAAACTAGCCTGCAATGGAGAAGATTCTGCAGCTACAGGAAGGGAGTGCCAGTGTCAGATGCTCTGCCCCTTTTCCCGCACCCACTTCCCCCTGACATCAGCTGACCCTCTGTAGCCCCTCCATCCCCCCCACAGGGAAGGCTGTTGGGTCCACAGTGCATGACCAGTGCCTCCAACAGTGCCTGGCAAGTGTAATGCAGAAACCAGGCCCTGGCCCTGTAGCCCCTGTGGCCTCCCGGGGGCTGGTCCCCTCACCGAAGTTGGACTCGCCGCCCAGCTCCTTCCCATAGCGGATCATGCACTCGCCCAGGAGGCCCTCCGACTGTGGGTAGCCGGGGTTCTTCACCTGGCCCCGGATCTTGGACACCGTATTGAGCATCGTCAGCTTGGCCCGCGAGGCTGGAATGGGACAGGCCACTGGGCACGGGCAGCCTCTCTGTCCAGACTGCTGCCCTCACCCCCATTTCTCTCTAAAGGGCATACTTGGCCTGAGGACCCTCGTCTCCATGCTGGCTGATGGGCCAGGCTACAGAAAGCACATCTCCTGAGCAGACTCCCAGGAGGACCCTACTCTGCTCCCGCCTGCCATGGAGAACCGGTCTGGGCATAAGTGGGCAGGAGAGGTGACTGGATCCCAAATGAGCCTCCCAAGGGCCTCCTTGTCCTGGAACTTGTCTGTGGCTAAGGACATCCCCTCCCTCATCTGGGGAGGAATGGTTAGACACAGCCACGAGAGACAGGCTCCCCAGCCGTGGCCTGTGCCCCTTCTGGGAGGGTGAGGAGCTGTGCTTGGGTCTGTTCCTGGCACCGGCCATGAGCGGATGCTGCGGCCTTGCTGCCCATCCTGTGGCCCTTGTTTCCACTGCAGAAGCTAGCATTTGGATTTTCCCCAGGGAAAGGTCTGCCTCCCTCTCAGCCCAGGAGACCCAGCTCCATACTCCCAGGTGGGAGTCCAGGCCAGGTAAGCTGGGGGTGGGCATCTAATACAAAATCACATGAGTCATTTGGGGGGAAAAGATGCTCTTTTCTAATGAGACTGTTAGCTGGAAGGTGATTTACAGCAGGACTGCCACAAGGGACAAGCCAGCCTGTGAGTGAAGCCAGCACAGAGGAAGCTGAGCTTCCCACTGAAGGGGAAGGAAGTGCATGACCCCAAGGACGGCCCTGGGACTCCTGGATCCAGCCCTGCCTGAAGCCCGCCTACCCATGGGCACTGCAGTTCTGTCAGCTGGCACATTTCCTCTTCATGCTCCGCTAACTGGAAGATTCCAACTGACACAGAGCACCGAGGGGTCGGGGCAGACCCCTGGCAGCTGCTGCACCCCTACCTGGGTTGGGCTGCAGGTACTCAATGGTTCTGGCCAGCACTTCCGTCACAGCCTTACTGGTGACATCCACCTTCTGTGAAAAGAGGCAGCGTGTGGGTTTCCACAGCCATCAGGGCGCCCAAGGCTGAACTAGGGCTCAGGCACCTGGCCCTCACCTGCCTCAGAGCCCACCCAGGGACCACCCACTGCTTCTGGGCCTCTTCAGCTCTGTGTCCCATGGCTGCTTGCCCAGGGCTCAGGGAGAGGTTGCTACCTGGTGAAGGGCCCACCCCCACCCCACCTACCAGGGCCTGTCACTCTATAGCTCCAGCCAGGCAGAAGTGCCACTTCTGGGAGATGCTCAATGAGCAGCACCGACCGCATATGGAGCGCAGCTTCTTTCTTACCTTCTCCATCTCTTTGAAGTCATCATCCAGCTTGGTTCCCTCGGCCCCTCCGACCTTCTCGCTGACCAACTGGATAATAGAAGGAAGAACACTGTGTGAGCCCCAGAGGAGGAGGAGGAGGAGGGAGAAGAGTCACCAGGACACCTATCAGATTCGTCTGCTGCTGGCGCGGGGAGGCCAGCAGTTGAGGCAGCCAAGCCCTTGCAGGGTTGCTGAAGGCGACAGGGGAAAAGAAGATGGGGTGGCTGGGTGAGCCCCAGCAGCCCAAGTGACAGCAGGCAATGCCATGGTACAGCCCAGCACCAAGTGCTGCTCTGACTGGTGCAGACCTGCAGGTGGCAGTGGTGCGGGGCAGGGGTGTTCTGCCCATCTCTGAGCACCTGGCTCGCTGCTGGCGAGCCCTTTGTGGTCCCCCTGGGCATGGCCTCATCTTCGTCACAGCAGCAGAGTCCAGAGGCTCAGGGTGGGAAACATACAGCTTGGAAAACACGGATGCTGGAGGCACCTACACAGACATCCCCAAGGACAGGAATGTGGGGATCCACCCCCACACTTCTTCAATGTCTTGGGGTCTACTTTCGTTAAAAAAAAAAAGCCAAATTCCTGACATTTTGGTTAACAGAAGCAGCACAAGCTAACGATTATGAGCAGAGCTGCAGGTGGCCAGAGCGGGTCTAACTCAGTAGGACCCTCATGACCTGGACAAACAGGAGGCCACTACACCTTCCTGAGCTCTGGTGTCTGCTTCTGCAGAACAGGACAGCCTGTCCCCTACCCCATGTGGCCGCTGTGAGCTCTACAATTTTATAAGCTTAATTTAAAATGCAAAAGCCGGGCCGGCCCGTAGCTCACTCGGGAGAGTGCGGTGCTGATGGCACCAAGGCCCCGGGTTCGGATCCCATATAGGGATGGCCGGTTAGCTCACTGGGTGAGCGTGGTGCTGACAACACCAAGTCAGGGGTTAAGATCCCCTTACCGGTCATCTTTTAAAAAAAATAAAATAAAAATAAAATAAAATGCAAAAGCCACCTGGGGTGAGGGGGTTGCTTTGGGTGTACAGAGGGTGGAGGCAGCCAGGTCTGGATGAACATGTGGCTCCACAGGCCCCCCATGCCGCTTCCTTGGTCCTGGAGTACCTGCTTGTGGCGCCCCCAACTGGGCCCAGTCCATACCCCACCACAGTCTCCCAACACTTCTTGTCCTGGTGATGGCCATGAGCCGCTGCAAGACATGGGCAAGGGATGCCACAAGTGTCCCAGTGGTGCCAGACTATGCTAAGCTGTGCTATGGGCAGCAGAGCATTTGTGGTCCAAGACAAAGGAGGGGACAGCCGGGACCTTAGAGGGCACCACAGCAGGCTGGGAGGAAGTGACCCAAGACCACAAGAAGTGGGGAGGTTGGAGAAGGGTGAGCCCAGGGCTCTGCCCACGCTGGGCCCCGGATGCATCCTCCCTGCACCTGCTTGTCAGCCTGCAGCCCAGGGAGCCCATGTGCCCACCACACTCTGCAAAGGGCCGCCTTCCTAGGGTCCACTGATGAGTCTTATCTCCTGGCATTCTGCCCAGAAAGACACTGTCCCGTCCCCATGGAATGTCTCTGCTCCAGAAGCTCCCACTCCAGGGGGCTGTCCCTGCCCAATCACTGGGAATCCTTCTGGGGCTCCTGAGGGTGCTGGCCTGCAGGAGAGGTCAGACTGCTGGGGCTTGACGCCAGCCCCACCGCCTTCTACCTGCGTGGTCTCGCTCTCAAATGCTTTACCAGGCCTCAAGGGTGCACCAGGAACACAGCGAGCCACATACCTCTGACCACTGTCCCCTTCCCGTGCACCCCTGCTAGTCAGTGGCTCTTAATTCAGAAATGTCTTAAAAATCCCCTTGTCCATGCCCTCCCCAGGAGGGCCGGAGTCTGGGTCCAGGAGGGGACTCAGGTGCAGGTAAGAGGCAGGAGGAAGCAGGGACCAGACACTGTCGCCACCTGGGGCTGCTCAGGCTGCACTCAGCCGTGCACAGTCCTCCCCGGGACACAGGCCCTATGGGAGAGGCAGAGGTTGCCCTCCGGTTTCTGCTGAAGGTGTTATGAGGAAAGACCCCATCCCTCGGGGGCGTTCCACTTTATTTCATGGGACAGTTTCACTTCTTTTGGTTGTGGTAAGACAGGACGTTCTTAAATCTGGTGTTTGCCAGAGAGGGAAGTGACCCGCCTGACATGAAACCAGACGCTTCTGCTAAACTGGAAGAACTGAAGCCAGCGGGGCACAAAACCACACCCTCCGGCTGAGGGCACCCTGGGCCCCACGACTTGCTCTGAGGAGGACCTGGTGTGCTGGGCCAGCGGGAGCGGCCCCATCAGGGGGCCCTTCCCTTTCCCCAGGCCTCCCGCAGGACCACAGTACCGAAGACCCACCTCAGTGGTCTCTTATGGGTCCCCTGACCCCTTGATCTGCCCTCAGCCCCTCACTCCCATCTCTCCTGGGAATCTAGGAATCAGCCTTCCTGGGCCTCCCTTCTTCCTGAACTTCAAGTTCACCCGGCCATCCTTACTCTCGGGGTCCTCAGGAGGCGGCGCTCTGAGTCCCTTCTGTCCAGGTCCGAGCTCAAGTCCCTTGGGTGCTGACTGATGGTCCCGCATGGGCCAAGCACCAGGCAGGGTACAGAAGACCGTGAAGTGCCTTCTCTCCAAGGCTCACAGGCTAAGCAGCATCACACATGGACGAAAGGATGACAAGAGGCCAAGAGGAAAAAGTGGAAAGACACAGAAGCCCCATGGCCCAGACGTAAGGAGCAGGTATCTCAAGTGACTAGTGCTGTCTGGGGCGTGAGCTGCCTGGGGCAAGGAAGGCCACGAGCCCAGTGGTCCAGTACTGATGAGGGGGGCTTGGCACATCTGTCCTCAGTCCTGATGACAGCAGGGAACCCAGCAGCGGTAACAACCTCCGTGTGCAGAGTCTAGCCCAAATTCACAAATCTCACCTCTCATTCCCCCGCGTGAGAGGAAACTGGAGGCCCGAGCCTACCCTTCCCCTGCATGGCTGCTGACTGGGCCCTGCTGCAGCCAGAGATCCCAAGAGGGCTCACAGGAGAGAGGGACCGTCCCCCTGCAGCCAAGGCCTGCAAAGCTGCAGCACACCCCAGGGGTCAGCAGGGCAGGTGGCGATCGCTGCCCGCTCTCCTGCAGGGCCCCACCCACCCATGAGTCACCAGTCACAGTCCCCATGAGAGTTGCATTGTGAAACCCATGCTGGCACCCCCTCTTCCCACCCTTGGCCCAAACACAGGCCAAGCCCCAAGAGGGAACGTGATCCAAGGCTCTCCCGCAGATTCAGGTGCCAGCCAGGCCCTGTGGAGCCTCCTGCAGAGGGCTGTGCCATGTTTCCTCACAAGGCTCAGGGAGACAGCTGGGGCTAAGAAGTCGCTGTGGGAAAAGCCCCTGCTCAGGGGGGCCTGGCAGTGGCCCCCAGAGATGAACCTGCTGTGGCCTGCCGGATATCTCCCCAGGCCTGTGCAAGACCGCCTCCCGATCTTTCAGGCCTCAGCACAGCGCAGGCTGCCTGCTCTCCCTGCTTGCCCACCCTCGTCCACTCAAGCCCCGCCCAGCAGCACACTCCATGCAGCTTCTGCCTGGCCTGCACTCTGTAATCCATTTGCCACCTGTGACCCTGGCACCTGGGAAGGGAGTGAGCCTGAGACAGATGGGGCTTCGTTACAGAGCATGCAGCTCCCGACCACATTGCTGGCCCATGAGCATTAATAAGAAAGATCACACGGAGAAGGGGGCTATTCTTTTGAAGATTGGAACTCTTCAGAGTCCTAGACCTTTGGCCACTGTTGCAGAGGAGCCAGGAATCTGACATGCAGGGCAGACAGTTTGCATGGTGGAAAAATGCACAAAGCAAATTGCAAAGACACTGAGTGCAGAGAGCAGGGCAGGGCAGCTGGGATGGGGAGCAGGGTAGAAAACCACCAGGAGGAGCATCTCGGTTTTACCCGGGGCAGTGTAGATGGCTGGCTGCCCCACAGCAGCCAGGCACACCTGTGGCGGCCACTGGGCAGTAGCTGGAGGAAAATTTCAAATCATGCTGAGTCCACTTGGCTACCACCAATGGAAGGCCTCATAATTTAACCATCTTGGTAGGGAAACCTGATCAATACGACACGGAAAATAAATGAGCCAATGTGTAGGCTCAGTAACCCGGGCAGACAACTGGCTTTAATGAATTAAGAGTTTAAGAAAAGAAGACGTGGGCCGGCCCGTGGCTCACTCGGTAGAGTGCGGTGCTGATAACACCAAGGCCCCGGGTTCGGATCCCATATAGGGATGGCCGGTTCGCTCACTGGCTGAGCGTGGTGCTGACAACACCAAGTCAAGGGTTAAGATCCCCTTACCGGTCATCTTTTAAAAAAAAAAAAAAAAAAAAAAAAAAGAAAAGAAGACGAGAGCTGGCACAGAGGAGGTGAGGAGCAGGAGAGACAGGGAGGGCTGCTCCAGCCATGCTGGCCTGGACAGATGCACCACACTCTCCTGTGAAGGGGACACTCCAGGGCCCCCATGTCTCATGTGCCGTCATGTATTTTCAGTGAGTCGGGTTCTGCACTGCTGGGATAAGCCCCCTACAGGGTTGCTGCAGAGGTCACCTGTCCTCTCCTAGCCAGGGTGAGGGTTTCAGGGCAGGGCTCCCCTCCTGCCCTTTGCCTGGCTGACTCCTACCTGCCCCTCGGTAGTCCTGTGATGATAATACCCACACTGTGCTATGGAACAGCCTCCTCGCTCCTCTCCTGAGCCCTCCCCAGAGGGTACCACAAGGGGAGGGACAGGTCTTGTTTGAGGGAAGCTTGTCCAGGGCCAGGCACAGAGTGAACTGTGCATGAACAGCAGGGAAAAGGTGACTTACAGCACCGGGGCAGAGCTGGGAGCCACAGGGTAGGGTCCAGGCCCAGCCACCCTGCGGGTCCAGGAGGCCAGGCTGAGGCTGGTGGGCAGGCCTCAGGGACGCTCTGCAGGTGTGAGCACTTCTGGCTCCTCAGTGACTGCCATCGGGAGAGGTATGGACAGCCTTACATCCACGGGGCAGC